TTGGCTTTTAATGTTCTTTTTACTTGCTTTTCTTTAATTTTATTTGAGAAATATCTCAGAATTATTTAAATAATATTTAATCTATGCATTTTTTTTAATTCTGGGCTTCCTTTTATTCAATAAAACTTAACATTAGGCTACTACAAAACATGAAACAGCAGCTTTATTATTTTCCTAAACACTGATGGAAGTATTCCGCTTAAAATGGTTCCCACAAACAGTAAACAGTCTGGTGCATTAACTCAACAAACAAAACACTGCACCCAAATCACTGCTGTCAAAAATACAACTAGGAAAATTAATCTGAGTGAAAGCACAAACATTTTTAAATTAAAACACTTGGCCTCTCAGCTGATCTTTTTTTTTTTTTTTATCTCAGTGAAGTTTTAAAAAAAACATTGAGTGCTTTAAAAGTGCAATGCGTTGCCCAGGTGCAATGGCTTTACAAGAAACATAAGTGCAATCACGCACGTATCACTTTCTTCTAGGTCTTAGAGAATATTACAGAGTATGTAGGGGTTCTGCTGCGGCCCTGAAATCTCAACAAACTGCAACACATGCGCAGCATTTAGAAAAAAAATAGTGCAAACAAAGAAAAAAAGTGCCACAGACAACAACAGAAACTGTATCCAGGGTAGACTTGTCACAGTGGTTTGTGTTTCTATTGTCGTCTGTGTTACTTGCACTGTTTCTATATTTGATTTGGTTTTATCACTTTGCCGATTTTTTTCTAAATGCTGCATGCCTTGTTCAACCGGGGTTTTCTTCGCAATGTTTTGAGCTCTCAGGGCCACCGTAGACTTAGCACCACCACCCAACATGCAATGCTTCCAGATCCTAAGTTTGGGAAACATTAGCATATATATAACTATGCACTTATACAAAGTGAGCTCAGGCATTTGAAAGAGGACACTGTTTCTAGAATAATTTTTCCCTTTTTAGCCACCATATATTTCCTCTGAATTGAAAGGGTCAGAAATGTATGCATACACTAGAAGTTTGTTGCACAAAACCTGGACTTTGGGAAACTTTTTCAGGACATCAAGCTCAAGCACATACAGTAGGTGACTTAAGTTCACTACATAGATAAACCCATGAGCATAAGGCAAGTCTTTATCTACATCTATCATCAATAACCTCAGTTACCTCAATGATGGACCTTTCAGTAGGGGTGGGGCCTTTGGTGTGTTGCACTTCCACAAAGACCTTCTTGACATGCTCAGTAATAATCCTCTTTCTTTGCAGACATCCTGTCAAAACATTTTAATCTGTCTTCAGGTGCAATATACTGTACATGTTTTCTTAAAAGTTATTGAATGAGTTAACTTCATCTACACATGCAGTAATGCAACATAAGACACTCAGAACAAACCATTGGTTAAATGTTGATTAAATATTTAAATATCAATTGATTTTTTACAGATAAAGACCAGGTAACTTATTATGTAGGGAATTTATATTCACTTGGTTTTAAAAGAAAATTTCAGTCTTCAGTTTTACTAAAAAACTAATTAGGAGACAATGGTATGATTTATTTACCTGTAAATATATGTATGTACTAGTATTAGGGTTTGGATAGTATATAGGAGCAGTTGAATTGTGTTTAATATGGATACAACAATCACAGGAAAATGTCAGAATTTACCTGGTAGTCTTTGAGTTCCTCTCCAGACTCACCAAGAAACTGCAAGTAGTGAATGATGGCATCTCGTCAACCTTCCACCTTTTACTGTTAATTACAGAAAACACTACATATTATGCAATAAAACACACAGAAAGCAACAGAACATTACATCAATGTAATTGTCTACAAAAGAAGGTGATTACTTTGCACCAACTTGGTGCAAGTATGCATTGCTTATTTCTTTCTGCACCAGCTTTATCATCTGCACCTGCCCTCAGCTGCTTACAAACCATTTTACTAATTAGACTGAATATACATGGATATACATTGCTTAAAACTGTATGGTGCAATAATGCCTACTTGACTTATCAAAATAATCCCACACAGCAAACTCTCTGTGGTCTTGTTTGAGTGGTTGATGTATGAACAGGTACAGTACACTGCTGTGGTCAGGTGGTCTGTATGAATAAATAAATTAATCTGACCTATCCATGTGACAAGATGTCACAGGACAACTGTATATATTCATATGGTTAAATGTTACATATGAAAATGACTATACAAAAATGCACATAAATACCAAGTAACACATTAAATAAAAGAGTGATACTTTACGTAAAAGCACTGAAATAGTAATTCCTTGTAGAATTTAAATATAAGATCAGGGTTATATTTAGAGGAGCAAAGAATCATTTTTTACTGTGCAGGAGAACTTGAGATTCTGTTTTCTCCTGCTTCTAGATACCACAACACCATCTGGGAGGGTTTTTGTTTGTTTGTTTGTTTGTTTTTGCTTGTTATCATATATTATTAGATCTGATTATTTCTATATTGTTGCAGCAGGATGAGGACATATTGTTAAATGAAAATAGAAGTTGAATAAACATGTCTTCAAAGGTTCAAGGCTGGCGTTAAAGGGACAAACCCGACATTAGATCATACATAGCGTC